CCGCTGACTGGTGGTAGGTTTGGATGGTACAAGTGTTTGGACTAGGTCAATTAAAAGCAAAATCATGGTGAAGTCTGGTTTGTGTTGACTTCTGCAACAACTGAGAGCTCGTTGCTGCGCCTAAGGAACAACTGAATCTCGGAACTCACTGATACGCAGCTTTTTTTTTTTTTGCTTTTTGCTCAGCACATTGACATTATTATTATGCCACTAATAATATGTCCTTGGCGTCAAATCAGTGAAGTTGCGGCTAATAAACTTTTGAAATATCAGGAAGTTTTGAAAAGCATAAAATTTATTACATACAGCTAGTAAAGGTGAATTCTCAATGGCGATGTTTGTTACTTCCACTTAAAAATACTTAACGCATAAATTACGCGCCAGAAAACAAAAAACGGCGTGTTTTGTAGAAGCTGAAGAAAATGCTTCCCAATTTCAGGTCAACGTTCATTGATCCTCAAACTAAAAGGGTATATGAAGAGGGAGATATTATTAAGCGAGAACATTTGGGCGCCACATTGCAGTATATTGCAAACAGTTCCGAACCCGTTCAACTTTTTTACGAAGGTACGATGTTTTTAGTAATGTTTTTCACATATCAGCTTCGTGACAATTACACATTAATGAACTGCAAAAGAATTGTCAGTGACACACTAGAATGGTTAGTGCTGTCAGTAGCACAATCATAACGCACCCGTATGAAACAAGGTCACTGACGCAAACTGTAAGGGCTAGCTTTGATGGACAGAAAGGCAAGGCAAGGACGCTTAGACTTTCTTTCTCTCAACATGAGATATTGGCTGCTTGGTGTCTTAGCCAGAATTCTTCACGAAGGATTTCTGGGAAAATTTTAAATAAAAATTTTAGCCTTTGATTGGGTGAATGCAGTAAATAATATTTTGCCTTCAATCAACTCTAGCTGAATATCACTAATAACAAAGTACAATCAACCCAGCATAGCAACTCACCCGGCTTACCGGTGCGAACGTCCGTCTTTGCATGATTCCATTATAGAGAGAACGCCCGTGCTACTGGAGACTAATTGCGGTGTTGTATTTTGATCATCTGATGAGTCTTTACTCTGAGGTCGTGCCTAAGCGACAAGAACATAAAATATCCTTCAGCAAGAACATAAAATGTCCACCAAAAAGAACATAAAATATCCTTGTAAAATTCCAGCTTTCTATCTTGTTTAATTCTTGAGATAAGACAGAAAGCTGAAATTTCATGCCCGTCGAAGAATTTACAGATTTCCTTTTAGGCACATACGTAAAGTCAAGCGTACAAGAATGATAATATTAAAACGAAAGAATCGTAAATGGGATGAGCAGATGCTCCCGAAATTCCAGCTCTCTGGCTTTTCTAGTTCTCGAGTTAAAACTGGATGAGAAAAAATGCAGGCACACACAGACACACTCATACAAACTCTTGCCAATATGCGTTATTTCATTTGCATAATACGCAAAAATCATTAAAAGTTATTAAGGCACTAGTGGATTACTGAAAATTAAATTTTCTATACAGTTTCTGAAGTAGTGCTACCTCGCTGCCTCACCTTCTGCCTCCTCACCCCTCTCTCTCTCCTCCTTTACTTTTGGGTACAAAATCTGCGCGCACCTCATTTGCGGGTCTCATTGTTGCAAAAAGTGTTACTTTGTGTGCATCCTAACATTTTATTGCTGTTAAAAGTTATTTAAGTGGATCTTTTTTAGGTGGCTTTGCGCAAACGATTGCTGCTGAAATCGCAGAGCACGGTTGTGAATTATTATCATTTGTTGTCTTTTATGTTTTAAAATAAATTACGGTGTGGACGAGGGTTAGCGCGGTTACGCGTTTTTACGACAAGTTGTTACTGACTCAAAGTAATTAAATGAAACGAAACGCAGGGAAGCTGGTTCTACCACCACGATGGTTTTTTGCCAAAAAGGACCAAATTTCAGATTCATGGCTTGCTTCATTAAAAATCGTGGCACCAGTCCGTATTTGAACTAAAAATCATAGGTCGAAGCAAAAGAAGATTTAAAGTCAGATTTTCAATCATCCAGACCTGACCAAGTTTCAAAATCGCAAGACTTTTCGCCGTTCATTTGGTTTTACTTAGTTAACTATAATCCAGAAATTTTAATTTCGCAGGCCTACGATCCGCAGAGCAGGATACGTATCATTTAAAAATTGCTATAATTTTCACAGTATTAGCGAAATAATCCTTAAAATTTCGCTTGCACATTTTCTGTTCGCTTTTATGCGTTTTTTGCAGCTGTGCAGTGCGGAAAACGCATACTGGCGAGAGGTTGTCTGTGTGTGTTTGTGTGCGCGCTGGGCCTCTGTACCGATTTTTTATCTCAAGAGCTACAGGAGCTGCAGGGTTGAAACTTTGGGGACTTAATCTACATGCACGTACGGGCCCCAATCCCCAAAATGGGCGGTCTTACTGGCGTGGTACCCACGTAAGAGCCCGCCAAAGTTTTTTACGGAGAAGCTGCTAACTCGCGGATCAGAAAAGTTAGGAAGCTGAAATCTTAAGGGGATGTTCCCCGTCCAAGTAGGTATTAATAACTCAAACCCAGCCCTCGGTTAAGCGTGGCACCCACGTGAGTGCTCGTGAAATTTTTTTTGGGTAAGTTGATAACTCGAGGACCTGAAAAGCTCGAAGACTCTAATATTAAGAGGATATTCCCCGTCCACGTAAGTCTCAACGAACTCAAGCCCAGACATCAAGTATGCGTGGTACCCAGGTGCGGGCCCCATGAAAGATTTTTTCCAGTAAGTTGCTAGCCCAGGAGCCAGGAAAGCTAGAAAGCTGAAATTTTAAGGGGATGTTTCCTGTCAGTTCTGGCGGCCAGTCTTAATTTTTTTAGATAGAAGCATTTTCCGAAAAAACCTGTGCGGCTGACGACAAAAATTGCGGGGAACTATGCAAAAAACACATCCTCACACGAACAGCTCGTGCATTGGCCAATTATCATTGAGTTATAAACTAGCTTCAGTTAGAATTTAATCCAAAAAGTCCTAGGCTAGACACAGGCAATGCAACCAAGTTCAGGGCTAAGGGCTATGCCTTAAAAATTTTGGTTCCCAGCCTTTGAAGTTCCTGCGTTAAATTACGTATTCCTACGGTTTCACACAAACATGTTTTCATCATAATGCCTTCATATTTGTGCAAATCCAGGTGGCTATGTGACCACATATGATTTACGTAATTACGAAACCAAAGTTGACGAAATTCCAATTATTAACGATCACCTTCTGGGAGAGTATGTCATTTGCGGGCCACCGCCGCCAAGTTCAGCTGCTATTACACAAAGCATTATTGCTACAATGGCCGGTAAGAAATTTCTTAAAAGGTATTGGACTCATATGCTGCTGGGGTTACTAAGCATTGTCATTTAGTAAAATTCCAGTAAGTGACCATCGGCGCGGAATCCCCGGTTTCGTCTGTACGCACCTTATCTGATTCCATAGCTTATATTCCACGCTAAACACAGCCTGTTGCATTTCCGAATGACGGTTAACGACACAGCACGCCTCAAGCAGGCACGCATGTGTCGCGCCTTTGAATCAGTGGACTGGTACTGAACAGATATTGAAGAAACTCTGGCCTTTGCACAATGCTGCCAAACTTGTGAGAATGCCCTGAAAGGTTCTTTTAAGACTTTGAGTCTTACCGTTTACCTAAACAGAATTTCTGATACAATCATTTTTAGAAAAGTTATAGCCCACTGGAACATTGACGCAGATGAGATAAATCGTGCTTGCCTGACAAAATATAGCCAGCGTTAATATGAAGTTCTAGCTACTCACTGTTGCAATTCAGCCATTTAGATAAATCTGATAGCTAGCTTTTTAGGTTTACAAAGCGGTATCCAGAAGAAGCCGGGATTCTTTTTTAATAGTTGTGTATTTAATTTTTTTTAGCAAGACAATCTTATCAAAGTACTCTTCATCATACTTAATTCATTATCTAATCTGTGATTCCATCCTAAAAAACATTTTCCAAATTCATCTGTTCTGATGGCTAACAGCGACTCCCTCGTTTTTTTTTTTTTCACCTCTTCTACTTTGCCAAAACGCTGTCCTTTCACCATCCTCTTCATTCGCAGAAACAAAAAGTCTCACGGAGTGAGGTCTAATGAGTAAGAGGCGTGGAGCAAGAGAGTCGCGCTGTTTTTTGCCGAAAAATGGCGCAATGAGATGGCTGCGTGTGCGGCTGCATTGTCGTTTTGGAAAAACCATTCCTCGTCTGCCGAAAAAAACAGACCGTTTCTGTCACACACAGTTATGCAGTCTTTTGATGACCCCTAAATGGAAAGGTTGATTAATAGTCTGACTTGATAGAACAAACTCCGAATGCACTATCCCTCTCACATCGAAAAAACAAATGAGCATCTTTTTTTGGACCAGACGACAATTGCGTCTTCCACTGGCTTGAATGGTGTTTGCTTTCGGGATCGTAAGAATAACATCATGTTTTATACCAGTAATGATCTTGCGCAAAAAGTCTAGGTTGCTTAGAAGCTATTTTTTGGCGGTACGGCATGCTTCCATTCGGTGCTTTTTGTGCTAATCACTCAGAGTCCGAGACACAATTTTTGCTGCAACTCTTCTGCTTCCTAAATCTTCCGTTGAAATCCGCTGAACCGAGCTCCAAGATAGTACAGACAACTTCTCAGTTTCTTTAGTGTCCACAGTCGATCTTCGAGCACAAGTACACGAATGTTTTCGACATTTTCGTCCGTTTTAGAAGTTGGCGAACGTCCAGAACGATTTTTGTGATTAATCGACATTTCATCTTTTTTGAAACGAAAAAGCCATTTGCTCACTTAATTTTTTCCTACAACGCTGTCTTGTAAGCTGTCTTCAACATTACAGCAGTTCCTGCTGCATTTTGCTCGAGCAGGAGACGAATTTTCACAATTGTAGGTTGCTTACATAAATCGGCCATCAAAAAAAGAGAGTGCGCTAAATTGTTTTAGCAGTGAAATTCACTGCCAAGAGAAATAATGCACCAAGCGATGCCAGTGGGTGCTTTGAAATCGGTGAGAGTTGCTCGGCTCTCATTTAGGGAGAAAAAATGTGTACTACAAAAGCTTCGTCCAGCGCAGCGCTACTCCGGTTGCTTTTGAGTACGCCCCTCGCAAATCTTTTTTCTGGTACATTTTGACTGCAAAAACACCCGCTTGCAAGCCTTTTTGTAAGCTCAACGCCAAATGGGGTGAAATAGACCACAAATTAGTTTTTCAGAATTTATACTTTTTGTAACACAAATTAAATGCTTTGTATAAAGACGTTACATTAACAAGGGCCAGTTTAAACTATTGTCAAAGAAAGTAACTTGCTGGAAAGTGGGTGAAAAGTGCCGAAAAGAAAAAAAAATTATTAAATATGTCAGTCCTTGATTTCGGCATAAAATCGCACAGTGACGTTTGGTTGTTAATGCATTGCTCAAACATTCAAAAACAGCATACTTTGCGCTGAGAACCGCTAGAACATACTACGCAACAACATCTCAATAGTAATATAAAAACAGCGCAGTAGTAACCTAAATCGATTATCATTCCAGTCATGTAACTGAAATGGTAAGGAAAATACGCTTACAGTGACTGTATAGTAAAATGATTTTACTGATTCTTTAAAGAATCACATCGGAAATATACCTGTTTTATCCCTAATCAACCCTTTATTAATGTTAGGTTATCGTTATCGTCTTGATGAGGGTTTATCAAGTGTCTGCTGAGTGAAAAGGAGGAAGCTTTTTTTACGCCTGACTACTCCACTCGTTCTATTCATGGCAGCTTTCTCGTTCACTTCGTGGCATTGTATTCGTATGTACATCTTTACTTTTCTTTTTTCCAGAATTTTATGGCCGTAAAGGCGAGGTGGATTTGGATGATCCGTTGCTTTATCACCGCTTAATTGAGGCAGAAAAGTTCGCCTATGCACAGCGCGCAAAACTTGGTGATCCCGCGTATGTCCCAGAAGCTTTGCAACTTGCTCAAAATATGACCAGAAGGTACACATTGTACATATGCATGTGTGCGTTTAAATGTGAATTTTTGGTGAACGAAACCAAAAGGCACTCGCGTTCAGTAACGAAACTTGAAGGAAAACAGAAGCAAGCACCCTTTCTTCTTACAGGCTGCGTACGATAAATTTTAGGTGCTGGCTGAGAAAATGATAGTGTTTTAAAGAGTTATTTTTATATCGTCTAATTATTGATGCATTTTAATATTAATACATCATTTAGTGAATTAAAAAATGTCAACTGCTATTTTAGGAGCTTATAAAAAGTAGCTTTTGCCCTCCGTGCCGTTATGCGGGATCCTTCTGCCTCCACGCTCTAAGGCTGTGTTTAATTCGTTACTTGCGTTTTCGATACCGTTATGTTCGAACAGTCCGCTTACGATTTTTGTTTTGATTCGGCATAATTATAACCTTACTGGTCACTTCAATTGCAGTTTTTAAAGTCCAAGTTATCTCTGTAAAACGCACCATAGTCTGTGCTCAACCCACCATGGTATGACGGTTCAAAATCTGCATGTTTGAACACGACCGAACCGTCTGACACTGTCTGGGGACGTGAGGACCGATCTGTGTCATGTCTGAGTGAAATATATAGTTCATTTCATATCAGGTCAAGTGTTCACATCTTAACTTTTGTTTCAGTTTTTTCTTCAGTTTGTTCTTAGACTTTTAGCTCCATTCGCTTTCTTGCAGCTCGTACTCTAAACTGATTATGTCACTTATTAAAGAAACATCGCAACCGCTGGAAGCATATACTGACACTTTGTTGCATTTGCCAGATGACCATGGAACATCACACGTTTCGGCCATCGACAAGGATTCCAATGCTGTCGCATGCACTAGCACCATTAATCAAATGTAAGTAATGCCAAATGGTTCGAAGTACTTTTTGTCTGCTGTGATTTAGGTATGACAAGTAATGTTTTTACCAATAATACATTCTAGCAAAGTCACTGATTGATCTTTTTTTCAATAGTTACATTTTAAATACGCTAGCAGAATTTCCGGTTTTTTGCTCGTTGGTACCCATCTCCAACTGGAACACGTCAACAAGACGTGGGTGGCAAATAATTGATCTTAATTCACAAACTCTGTGTCTGTTCTTTGCATCCAGATAAAGGAAAACAAGACGGATGAGGGGTGAAATGAATTATATCAAACAACCCAAAATTTTTGTCAAAGAGCGCAAAACTGATAAGCAGAACCGTATATTACAAGAAAAAATATTAGCTTAGTGACTGAAATCTGATGCATTGCAACACGCAGTTATCCTCAAATAACACTTTGGCCTCACGTTTATTTGCCGGAGTGAAGCTACTCTCTTTTTTCGATATCAGCCTAGAAAAGAATACGATTCAGCAAAAGTGCTTTGAATTTGAACTTCCACATTTCTCATGAAAATTTCCAGATTTGGCTCGATGAGGATTTCTCCGACTTTAGGAATTGTTTGGAATGATGAAATGGACGATTTCTCAATTCCCGGAACGAGTAATGCGTTTGGCATTGCACCATCGCCAGCCAATTACATCGAGCCTGGTAAAAGGCCGATGAGCAGTATGTCACCGACAGTAATTTATAACAAAAATACTGCAAAGGTTCGAATTTAGCGATTACTTATCTTCAACCCAAAAATGAGAGATGCTAAAAAGCTGAAATTTTACGGGCATGCTGCCAGCCCCTGTGTGACCCTCGCGTTTTGAAATTTACTTTCATGTACGCCTGTGTCTCGTGACGAACGTCAAGAAAAAACCTGTGAAAATTTTTTAGCGGGATAACAATTTCGAAAGACAAAGAAATATTTCACAGTCATGTTCTCTGCCCAAGTGTGAGTTGATTTAAATTCAGCTATCACGTACGTCTGCTTAAACGTAACTCTGTCCTTGGCATTTGTCAACTCGAGGACTGGCCAGGAAAAAATAAGTGTAACTTCACGAAAATATTTTTCGTCCATTTGGAATTCGTGTACATAAGCTGAGTTTTGGACTGCATTTGCGTCACGCATTAGGGAACGTCGAAAATATTTGTAGCAAATTCGGGTAAGCTGAAATTTTGCTATTTTCTGCTTATGTATGACTTAAAGGCTTTAAATTCAGCTCCGGTACACGCCCAGAATCGCTTTATGCAGAAGTAACATTTCAGTTTCAGACAGTTTTTGCACCATTTACTACGCAATCAAACAAAACAGAGCAAAAATTTTGTGAGAATATTCATTTTTCATGTGCAAGCCAGTGTGCTTAAAATCAGCTTCTGCTTGCGCATGCGCGGTGCATACGGATGTTTCAGATATTCGAACTGCAACACCATCTCCAACGTCCGCTCTCGCAGTCAAACAGCCAAGAATGGAATTTTTACGAAAATGCTAGCGTACCTTGTGTGCCAATAAAATTATAAAAACAGCTTTCACAAGTGCTCACGTATCGCTATGGATACGGTGAACTGGAGGGTGCATTTTGCCGACAAACTCTAAATACAAAAATCATGGTGATTACACACGTTGGAGTATAAGATTTCATGCGACTCAACGACGCAACACCACACTCCAGCAATTAGTGATGCCCCTGTCCCAGCGCGTGAACCAAAAGTCCAAAATCATTGCCAACACTAGTGCACATAACAAAATGTAAAGCAAAGCCACTGACAATGTTGAGGATCCGGTTGCTTCAAGGCTCGCTCAAAATCACATGACCGCATCAGCAACTATGGCGTGTACTGCTGTTGTTTTCCCTTCGTAACCGCTATCTTTCTAGGAACTTATAAAACTGTCGAACAACCACACGAAATTCTGCATACACACAAACACGAATACACACACACACACGAACATACATGAACACATACACATATACATACTGTCTATGCATGTATGTATACACTTTTGTTTTGTGTTCTTTTGCTTTGAAAATCAACTATCAAACAAAAATGATTTTAATGGGCCAGTTGAAGTTGTCATCTAAACAACAACTGAACACAGTTCTTTTACTGCGTAGCAGCCACTCTTCTGTTTCTTCCTTGATAACTTGACATACTGTTCAAAGATGATCCACGACTTCTGGTATGAGCAATTATGGCTTCACGTGATGATTCTAATCGGCAATCCTCTGGCACGAGAGGATGAAAAATGCTGTTCGTCTTTTCTTAGCTGCTTGACTCTTTTAGGTTAAACTTGTTATTGGTACATCTGGTGGTTCACAAATTATCTCAGCTACAGCACAAGCGGTCATCCGTATGCTCTTGTTCAACCAGACCGTCAAAGAAGCTATTGATGCTCCTCGTTTGCACAACCAGTTTCTGCCTCCCGTAACACTGTACGAATCTTCATTTCCTGAGGTATTTAACAACGATTTTGCTGAGAATTATGTGATTTGTTCTGAAGCGGAGTGGAGTAAGCTCCGGATTTACGACATGGAGCTCACGGTGTGGGCAGCCATGCTCAAATTGCCAAGCTCCGTTATGCTGGGTCACACGCCTTCAGCTATCATCCATCAAAGTTTCCCCTGAGCAGTTGCTATTTTTTCGGTAATCAAAACGGTCGTTGCCTGTTTCTTAGCGGCACTTTTTGCGGCTTCTACGAAAAAACTTTCTTATGAGCTTTCGATCTCAGCTTATTCAGATTTTATCTTTTTAAACGTAATTCAGTAATACCATAATGTAGAGGGTATCAGCGGGGTTCTTTCGATAATACTTAAATACAGTACATGTCGATTTTTAGCACACTTGTTCAGAACCGAGCGGAAGGCTTTCGAATCAGAAATTTTCCATAAAATACAATTTTGGTTCGATTTCTTTTAAATCCACTTCTTATTTCATGCATATCGTACACATGAAACGAAAAGTGGATTTAAAAGCAGTCAAATCACAACTGAATTTTGTAGACAATTTTTGATCATAGATGTTAACGAGACATAGTCGTGTGTTGTACGCAACGCCGCTGAACTCCAGTGTTCTATAGTATCTTTCAGGAAATTATCGCAAACCTGACGAATGCACGAGAGCAGAACATGACTTCAACAGAAAAATTGAAATGTGTAGTGCAGGCGCTGCTGGTGGGCGATGACGACTACATTTACGGCAATAGTGATTTTCGGCGACAGACATCGACATATCCTTCTGGATTCTAAATTTCAGTTTTTGAACAACCTCTAGATTTGAGCAACCAGAACAACTAGGTAACAATTCTGTGCATTCCTGCATTCAGTGCTAGCGGTTTGCAACCTATGCGTGTTTTGCCACATAGAGCTTTTTTACGTGTTGTTTGCATCTGTACTATGCAAAAACGCATATTATCGAGTTGTGCCTGAGTGTGCGTTAGTGTGTGTTTGTGTGTGCTTATATTTGTATCTACATTACGTTTGTCCAATTTTTCGATCTCGAGACCTACAAAAGCTGCAGAGCTGAAATTTCTGCAATTTAGCCTACACCTGTGTATGGGTCCTTAGGCATAAAATGGACGTTCACGTCCTCTTGACTTCCACTTGCGGACACGTGAAGAACTTTTTGGCGAGGAAGCGATTTCGAAAATTAGTTTAGAAAAATGAAACTTTACGAGGATCTCCATCACCCACTTATGATCTAAAGAATTTAAATTCAGCCTTAACTCACCTTTAAAACCCCTGTGCGAACATGTCAAAGATCAAATTTTTGGCGCCGTGCCAAGACGAGATTTGGGCTGCCTAGAAAACTGGTGAAGCCGACGACTGTGTTTGGGCGTGTGCAGCTGAAAACGGCCTTCACGTTCCTTTTACATCTTATGCACGTTTCGCGTACGGACATGCGAAATTTGGCGCAATTAAAGCAACTAATGTGCTCATATTTTGTTTAATTTTCACATGGCAATCAGAAAAATAAAACAAAAATTATATTTCTGAGTCTGGCGCGTGTATCTATTTGTTCAACAGGTGCCTCTCTAATAACTGCTCATATTGTCAACAACAATTCTGCGGAAAATAATGCGAATGATATTTCTCTGTAATAATTTTTTTTTTTTTTGAAAAATGCTGCTGCGCATGTTTCTGCCAACGCTCCCGAATAACTTACTATCACGCTTATGGAATAAAAACTGATAAGCTGATGATCATGTGCAACGCTTCTTATAAACTGGAGGTGACCGAAGTCGAAGTCAAAACCACCTTCGAGCACTCACTAGCAGACCAATACATTCAAAACCGCTAACACCGTAAATATTAACACTTACCAACAGCAACCATCGAATAACTAGACTGCTAACAGTCTTTATCAAAACATTGCTGGAAAAGACAACTAATGATAATTTCGTTCCTCGGTATGATGATTATATAAATGCTAGTTTTAATGCTAAATTCCACCCTTTTAATATATGAGTCACTACAGTAATCGTTTCTCCTATTTCCTCTAAATCTAACTCTCCATTCCTAAAATACCTTCTTTTCTTGGTTCGTCTCCCAAATTAAAAATTTTTTGAGCCGCCTGTGTTGCGCTACCTCGTTATTTATTCTAAAGCACCAACATACCCTCATTTCCGCGGGAGGAGGTAGGTCCTATTTTCCGTACTTAAACAACTCCCCTCTTCATTTGGGACCTTCACTATCGACCGTATTCTTTTGCTTCGTCACTCATCACACGCGGTTCAAACATCCGGACGTCTCGACCCGATTATAATCCCCTTCGGCCTGATCTGACCCATCATTTCGATGGCTTGCGGTCACCATTACCGCGCTCATCCTTTGCCATTCTTGAGCGCCTGTGCTTTTGTACATAAACGCTGCATCCACGTTGCAAACCTTATTCACAACGATCATCAATAATCCCCGCCAACTTTTACTATTAGTTAGTTGTCGAAACGGATTAGAAATCAAATATTCCCGATCCGTTTTGATTTACTAAAATGCTTACATAGATTTTTATATTGCAGTATTCCAACAGTGCTTGGCATTCCCAGGAAATAGTACTTTTCACCCACCCCCGAAGTGTGGGAAGAGTAAGGACAAATGAAGGACCGTAGTTGAGGTGGTGCAGAACTCATGTCAGTTTCATTACATTACGGTAAATTGTGATAATGATAATGATAGCAACGATAATAAAAATAATAATAACAATGATAATAATAAAAACAGCAGCTACTTGCATCAAATTCATCAATATCCATAAACATACACAGCAAAGCACTCAATGCGTGTAAAGAAATAAAATCAACAAACATATTCAGCATTTCAATATGAAGAAAAATTCCCTGTCAAGGCATAGTGAAAGACGGTAGAGATGGTAAGCAGCTTGGAAAATTAATTTTAGAAATGTTCAATACTAACTTCAGTGTGGAATTAATATCAAAGTACTGTGCATGAAAGGAATCATTTCAGCAGTCTTGTAGCAATCGCAAGCGTTCTCGACTTTTTTAGGAGGCAAAAAGTGAATTTTCGTCTATGTTTAAAGAACTGCTGGCATTTAAGCGTTTCTGTCATACCAACTGATTATTATAAAACATTTCTTCTGCGATGTTAGCTGAAAAAATAAAAAAAAAAGCACTTTCTGATTGTTCTTCCAAAAAATTGCTAAGGACTCAAAGTTGCTACGCGTAAAAAAAATCACTGACGAGAAGAAAATTATCATGCAAGAAAATCGTTGGAAAATTCAAGGACAACAGTAGCAGCATCTTCGGATAAGCTAACACGCCGTCTAATGGGATTAGTGTTGAAATTCCATGCACTGCTCAAACTGATTGTCATTTCGCCAACAAACACGTCGCATCCACAGTCAACCATTTGCGGATCAATAAATTTACGAATTTCCACATCCGCCCTGAAAAATTCGCTTACAAGGCGTGTCTGAGCTGAGTACTTGGTTTTGAAAGGAAACCAGATCTGATCAGTTCGGTCAATGTTGAAATTTCACATGTTATCTGGCTAGCAATCAACTTTACTCAATGTCTGCCAAAAAACGACGCAGCTGAAAAATACGAAAAACTGATTTGTATATCGCGGCGGTTAGCTGCTTTTGCAATAACGCAGTCAAAAACTAGCAGTAAAATGTGGTAGGAATGCTCTTGCACTTCAGTTCCAAGCGAGATTCTGGCTGCCGGATATTGCGAGCAGCAGATAGGATCTTTGTTTAGTAACATAAAACGTGACAAGTTGGTCTTTCAAAATTTGGACTCTGTCGATTTTTTGGTTCTCAAGCTCCAGTAAATAATAGGGCACAGAAGAAAGTACGAATTGTCTTCAGACCACTGGTCACACGTACATGCTAAAACTTGGAAAGCTTGTAACTTTGCGCGATTTGCGTAACAAAATTTGTATAAATTTAAAATGAAGTTGAATGCAGTTGAGTAAAATGCTATGGAAGGAAAGTCCAAAAACAAGGAACGAAGCAATATAGTAAAACAGCATATGTTATGAAAAAGATATAGGACATGTGTGAAGGCTGATTGTAGACTTTGCTGTCTGTGTTTCATCCCTAAGTTGCAAACAGAGACAGTATTCGGTGTGGAATGGGGTGGGAATCTCAGTGCAGCTCCTAAACCACAATGTGAAAGAGCTGATAACGAATTAGTGAGGTAGGAGAAGAGGCTGAAAAGAAAGGAGGAATTGAGGAAATACGTGATGACGAAGATAGGAAGTTTTCGAGAAGAAAGAAAGGTAGGGAGTGTTATGGGAAGAAAAATAGTAAGAAGTAAGCGTAAATAGACGTCTAACGTGTGTGACGTGATTGTCGGACTTCGTGCGCTTCATCGGTGGTTTTGGTTGGGACGTCATTGAAAGGCCAAAGATAAGAAAAAGAATGATTTGAAAGTTTATCTCAGACCTGTGGCTTTGAATACTTTCAAGCATCTTAGCTTTCGCAACTCCGGACTCGAAACATACGTCACACACACACACATACATACATACACACGTACACACACACACACACAAACACACTCAAACATACCCACAAACGAATGGTTTCGCCTTAATCCTTTTTTGTCACATGAGTGATGCAAAAACACAATAATGAGCGCTGGTGAGGAAGATATTAAAAAAATAACAGTTGAGAAAGTGGACATAAAAAAAAAAGTTGGCTAGGAAAACCGCTTGAAAAGCAAACTTCGACTGGAAGAAGGAATTGAAGAACGGAAACCAGCTAAAGAAAAGGATTTTGAAGTGCGGGGTGGATTTTACCAAGATTATTGCTTGCTGCCATACCAAGGTGAGGAAACAAACAGTTTTTTCCACAGTTCCTTCTGCAAATTGTGCTTCCCGAATACGCCGCAAAATCAATCCTATTTATTCAGATGGAGTTTAAACTGCTAGACCGCTTGCCAATAACTTTGTATTAGATATTTTTAAGCGGCAGCCCAAATCAAGACAATGGAAAAGATTAAAATCCAAAAATACCTGTTTCCTCGATACCAGTCACTGGATGCAAATCTAAGTGACTGATGCTCCAAGCTCATATGACGGTGTGCAGTTTTTGGATCAACTGTCAGTTGGAATTTAACATCATATTCCTGAAAAATTTTAAAACAGAGTGGGTTTCCCCCCATTTTTCACTGCGCTGCAAATGCTGGCCAAAGAGCAGGGAACGAAGTAGAGGTGGGGGGATGGAAACAGCGTACGGCCACCATTTCTCTATCTCGATAGAAACATGCAGAATGGGAGCAAAAAGAAAATAAATATCTGCAATTACTGCTGAAGAACATAAGATTTCCGGACCAGGCTTTCCAGGAGCTTTTCGCCTGCCCGCCCTTCCGTAATAAAATATTCTGTGGAATTTATACTAGAGGGGATTTCTTCTCCTCTCCAAAAAAAGTTAAACCTTAAATTCGTGCTCAGTTTCGCCATCGAATACGAACATAGTGACGAAATTGGTCGTTGGCAGTTCTGACTTGTATGCATCTAGATGACTACGAAACGAATATACACCACCGTCTTCAGCAATTAGTATACCCTGAATTAATAACATTCTTATACTACTTTTTTGTCAATTCCGCAATAAAGTAGCCATGAAATTGTCCTAAGAGCTCGAAAACGAAGATGCACATGCCAAACAAGTACCTGATTCCTAAGCAATATCTATTACTTGATATCGTATTCATCATAAAATGACATTTTGATTATAGCACGGGAAATGCGGAAGAAGAATGGTGCCCACACTATTACGACCAGAAAGGCAGAATGGTGCTGGGTTGGTGCTGGGCCCATGGCGTTCTTCATTGGATTGGCACCACTGCACTGTGAAGCCTTTGTTTTTATGCGTTTCGCACATATGCAAATTACAAAAACGCATATTGGGAAGAGGCTGTGCGTGTTGTGTGTTCGCATTTTTTGTCACCCACTTCCGACTTGAGAATCAGAAAAGCCAGAAGGCTGGAACTTTGGGAGTATATCATGCGCGACCCTCCTGTTTTAATATCATCTCCCGCGCACGCCTAAGTGCCGCGTACGGACGCTTTAAAAAAATATGCAAATTTTTTGGCAGGAAAGCGATCTCGGGAACCACACGAG